AGATGAACCAACCTTATAGAGCAGGAATCCTTAGTTTGAGTTCCATGGACCAACTTTAGGGACCAAAAAAATTTTTGCATTAATAGCTTTCATCCAACTCCCAAAGGGGTGCTTGGCCCACAAAAGAACCACCCCCAGTCTACATGGTAATCTACACACATTGCCTTCTATAATTTTACTTGCTGTAGCTGCCAACTCTTACTCATTCATGCTTCCTCCAAGCATATGCACATGTGTGCACACAGACACACAGCACCCAAGTGCACCCTCCCTGTCTCCTCCCCCGCTGCATCTCATCCCTGATAACAGATTGTGCTCAAAGCCACTGACAGGCTGCATGGATGCCTGGAGCACATCTCAATTATTCATGCTGCTCTTTACAGACCTTGCCTTATTATCTCTGTTCATGCTATTATGAAGAGGGCAGACTCCTTAATGCACTCCTCTCCCACTGCCTCCTGCTGCTAGAGGCAAATCACGAGCCAGGTAGAGTCACCTAATAGCACCCGTGTTCTTTTCACCTTTCTCTACATCTTGTCCCAGCAGTTCCTTCTAGGGCATCAAGATCAATTGTATCTCAAACTGGGCCATGGGTTTGCTTTCTGTATTTTCTGGTATGAGGTAAGGGTAAGGGGCATACAAAAAAATACCAGCTCTCAAATTAAGAGATTGGTCCTTAGCCTGGGCATGAACAGGAACAAGGATAAACTGAGTACCTTTGTTAAGGACAAGTGCATTCCAGTGGATTCCAACATTAGGGATGCTGGAGCCCTACCTATAGTTCCTTCCTGAGAGCATCCCCACAGGTGAAAGGTGGTATCAGTATTTTCCACGTGGAAAACAAGACTGATGAGATAGCTCTCCTGGAATGGAGGTTGACATGAATGCAGCCATCTTTTTCCTAGTTCTGAAAATAACTGAGCTCTAGGCTCTGTGTTTAAGCAGAGCCTAATTCTACCCTAACATTAACTGCCAAGTTTCCATGTAAAAAGTGAAAGGTCAGTGATCGAGTTGCAGCCCAGACTTGGAACCATATCTCAGGGGAATGGTCCAGATGTCCTTCCAATTCTGTTTTCGAAGGGGCCATCGCATAAGAATGTCATCAGTAAATGTTAAATGCAATGCAAATTGTGAACTTTAAGTTTCCTGAAAACTACAACCAGGATTTATCTACGGCAACCCCGTATTTTATCCACACTTATGCTAGAAACTAAACCGAGTTTCATATAACGTGCCTTTTCAGCTAAGTCAGTGAGAGAATAGCTTCCAACAATTATTTTCACGTACACACTTAGTATAATCAATCCTGCTTTGGGTCAAGTTAATACACTGGCGGAACAGGCTGATTTGAGCCTCTCTTCTTATGAAAAAAAAAAAAAAATCTGACAATTTAAGGGGCATATGTTCGCTTCCATTTATGTCCTGGAAAATACGCCCTTGTGACTTAGCAACCATGTTTAAAAAGCTCTTGCAGTTCTTAAACAAACAGAGTGTATGTTTATGAGGTTCTAGCAACGTTATTTTCAGAGATGACGTAGAGTTGGTGATATGTAGCTTTGGGGCTTTACAGTAAGTTGTGGGTGATTTATTGGTGTGACATACAGTATTTGCCTCAAGAAACGTGGAAATTTAATTAAGCAGTGTTTAAAAATGTGTTAGATGGGAAATAAGCTGGAATACCCAAGACCAAAAACTCCCCACCGTGTGGAGAGAGAAGGGGCCCTTTCTGGGAGATGGAGGACCAAGAGTTAAGAACATTTCCTGGCACTCAGGGAGCACAACCAATTCGAGACCAGAAAGAGAGACAGTTTAGAATAGAGAGTGAAAAACAGGAGGCCCGAATCCTGGCCTGCAGAGGTGTTTTGCTTGGCCTGCAGAGTACTTTAAGAGTTTTGGCTTTGTGGCCAATATTTTAAAATTGGAGATTCGACGTAAAAGCTAATATTTGCTCCTCTCTCTGAAACATAGGAAGATCTCGCCCCAAGGGTGTGCATTTCTGCTTGGGAACACTCAGCTGGAGCAGAGAAGACACTTTAGGGGAGATCTGAGCTCTGAGCTCATGGCAAGTCCTCACCAGATCCGACACACCCATCTCTAACACCTGCCTTTCCCTGTCCAAACCTTGCAAACCTCTGACAAAGAAAATGTCATTTTGTGTTGTGGCCCTTTTAGCAAACAGAGCTCTTAGACCAGTGAGTCTCACTCTCAGATATGATGGGAAAAGCATGTGTTTTTCAAAATCCAGCAGAAAAACAAGATTATCAGGGTTTCTTAAAGTTTTTCATGTTTCCACAGGTGCCATGGTTTTCCATGCTGGGTTGCCGAAGTTAGTATTTCCCAAAGCCAAGTCATAAGACAGGGCTTGAAATAAAATGCTTATTTTTGTTTTCTCATCTGAAACAATTAGACAACATGGGGGGGGGGCGGCGTGAGGCATCTGTCTCTGAGCCTGTTTCCTTATCTGTGAAAATGTCCAGAAGGGTGAGCTGACAGGAAGGGGGAAGTAGCGCCAACTTCTCCAGCAGACGCGGCAGGCACAGTGCCCGGGGCTGCTGTCCGTCCAAGGGGTCCAAAAAAAAGTCTTAATTTTAACGTCTGTAAAATCAGAAGAAAAATAAACATAACAATAATAATGAATAAATAATAATGAATCCCGGCTGGATTATATCCATCTTCACAGCTACACACAACATAACTTTTAACATCCTTTATGGAAGAAGGGACCCAAGAAGGCAAAAGTACCTGGAGCCCATGGAGATCGCAATGCAGCCCTGGGGGCAAATGCTGGTCTCCCACCGACATCCCGGGTCCGGGCCCTGGTGTGTTCGGCAGCAGCACACAGTCTCCCATTCCTGCCAACTTTCCTCCCCATCATACCCCTGTGATGCCCTGCATGTACCAAGTGCATAAACAAGGCCCCTGTGTAGCACATCGTACGCTGGCCTCGGTTTCCAAAAGATGGAATGGTTGCCGTTCAGCCACTTCTAGAAATGTTCAAATACAAAGTACCAAAGGTTTGAATCACGTGCGATCGGAGAACAGGTATCACCGCCCTGGGGAGAGTTCGCTTTTCTGATTCTGTGATGCTATCCTTGAAGTGTTCTCCATCCCTAGTCTCCATGGCTGATTTCAATGCAGGGTTTCGCTTGACTTAGCATGTACTGAAAATCAAAGTCACGAGGCCCACGTGCAGGCCATAATGGCAGTCCCTCTTGTGGATTCCTAGAGCTGAGGGACAATGAGTTTTCTATCCTCTCAACTCAAAATCTCCCCCAAACCCAAAACATTTTATAGCAGGCGACTATCTTCTCAGCCCCTCAGCAGCCATCAGCACTTACTGTTCACAACGCCCATGTTAGTTAGTAATTGACAATGCATTGCCTGGTGGTGTCTCACTTATCTTGTTTTGTTACTTCACTTTTCCTGTATCTATGGCTGGACATCCTGACCTTTGTAAAAAATATATATAATTTAAAGATCTTAATGGAAAAGATCTATTAATAGTATTATACATAAGCATTCAAAATCCCACAATACCTAGCAAAATGTCTTGCACACAGCTGGTACTCAATAGAGACCTACTAACTGACCTTTATGGCCACAGGTACATGGCTGTCAGCCTCATTTGTCCCTGTGCTGGGGCTGGCGGCCACTCCTCTGTGCTCTGCTTCCCCACTGTATCGGTGGGACACGATGGTCCCCTACACACATACAAGCACACACACACACACTCTCCCTACTCCCAAATTTTATGAACAGTGACATACGCATCAAAAAGTCCCAAGGGCGTCCTTGCTTCAGAAGATTCTATTTTTAAAGCACAAATGACTCATCACTGACCAGGGTCTCCCCAAAGCTACAATTTGTCAGGCTGTCAGGACAAAGGACAGGGGTAAAAGACAAGAAAGAGGTCACATGTCCTCCAGCCCATAAACCCCATGATGAAGCTGTAGGAGCCACCACCACCACCTCGGCGCCACCACAGTTGTGTTAGGCGTGAGCTCTGCCCTCGTGTTTGGATTAAACGGTTCTGAGCTATAACGTTTCGCTCCAGCTGGCTCCCACCCTGGTCTCTCGGCAGTTCCCGGACGCACGTCCGCCTGTGACTTCAGAGAGAGGACAGGTGCCGAGAGATGGGGAGCAGATTCAGCCCTCTTGGGGCATAGACTGGTGCTCACTGCAGAGGACGCAGGTAACCATGGGGCCTCAAAGGGAATTCATTTGCCTCCTTCACCCTGAAACAACCATTCTTCTAAAAGAGAGTGTCAGATCATCCAAAGCATTCTCTTTAAGTTCTGGAGAGTGGTGAAAAGAGAAGAAATAATTCATTCTAATTTTGGAGGGTAGAGTACACATGAATTTATAGACGTCGTTATCAGATAGTGTTTCCACGGGGGAAACAAATGAGCAATTGGGCAAAATGTCCTCAAAAGTAATGCATAATAAATTCCAAACAGGACAAAGCAATGTGCTCAGCCTTGTTAACCCTCCAAAACAGAGCTGAGCTCTTCCCCACTCCCCCTCCCAACTCTGAAATGGTGCAGAGGGAGGGAAAGAGAGAGAGAGAGTTGCAGGATAATAAAATCGAGGAATTTAAGGCCTCTTGACAGTGGAGATGAAATAAACTAATCCCAAGCAGCCACCTGGCCAGGTTTGATCTTTTCCCCCTTGGGATATCTTTATTCTTATCCATGGCCCTAAGGTTTGCCCCACGATGAAGGCCTAGAAGTCCAGAATTGGCACAAAAAGTCAAAATATGCTTTGTTATTCAACGAATAGGCTACCACATCTTTGTTCACTTCTTCATTTAGTAGAAAGAACCCAAGAGATCAAATACAAAAGAGCTGCGGCTCCCAGCTCCGTCTCTGCCCCTGGCCATCGGGTGACCTTGAGCAGGTCCCCAGCCCTCATTCCTCGGGAGAGGACGGTGCAGCACAGGGGACAGTGGCCCCAACGGCACTCTGAGGCCCCCTCAACCCTAACAGCATGTTCTAAAGTTGCCTTTGGTAGCGAACCTGGCAGGTCCAGCTCTGTGCTCTTCCACTCCTAGCATGGTCCTTGATTTTTTTGCCAGTGAAGTGCCCAAGATAAGCAGTCCCCTGATGCGGCCAGGTGCTGTCACACTGAGGTACCGCTCGAGCAGTGAGAAAGAAGCAAGGAAGCCCAGACCCCCCGCCAGTGTGGAGGGGAGAAAGAGGAAGGGCGCCACTCAGGCTCTGAACTTTGAGGTAAATGAAGCCAATCTGTTTGGGAACCAAAGAACATACCTTGTTCTCCAAACTCTGCCCACACAGAGACAAGGACATGCATAGAAGTTGACTCTATTCCTTGGTGTTCTCTCCACTGTCTTCTCTACCGGGTATGCACTCAGTTAATGAAGGAATGGCAGCGAGAAAACGAGACGAGGTAGAAGGGATGAGTTAAGGTCACTCCCATGCCAGGGAACGGAGTGCTGCCATTAAAGGGTAAATCCTAAAAGGGCACAAGGACTTCCCACTGGGAGTTATTTATAGGCTCTTTGCCCTGAGGGCGTCTCCTCTCCCCATCCTTCAGTGGGCCCCTCTGCCATCTGACATTCGGGGCTTCCAACAGCTGCTGGCTCTCCTGTCGTGTTCCCTTCACAGATGTGCAGTGCTGTTCCGAACATCCTGCCCTTGAACTTTCCCTACCCATAATTTTCCAAATCAAAGCCTGGCAATAAAAATGTCACTGAGGGGTGGAGAAAATTGGGGGGAGTATTTAAAAAGAAAAAAAAAGGGGGGGGGAATAGGGAGATGCTTTGCACACACAGTGATTTGTGTTGACTTCTTCCACAAAGGTTAAATGCATGCCGTGACTTCTGGAAAAGGGCACCAAGGCGGAGAGCTGGGGCTAATTTTCCAGAGCACTACCTAGAAAGGCTGTGTTCCGTAAAGGAACTGGGCACGGAGCAAGCTGGTGAGCTTCTCTCTCTACGCCACGGGCTGCCCAGCTGGCCCTGCTGTGAGGTGTGGAGTACTAATGGTGACAGCGAAAGCTAGTGTGCACAGCACTTTACAGTTTGCAATGCACTGTCACTCATGGGATCTATGCTGTCCTCAGAGCTCTGCCAGGTGCCTGCTGTGAGGCTGGACACATGAGAGGCACCGAGTTGTCACCTGTGCACAGTCAGAACAAGGCTGGAGAAGGAAGCAAGGTATCTTATGTCATTTCTTAAGATGTCCATAGAATCTTTTTGGGGGCCCAATTTGCCTAAAATCTATTAGTTTGATAATACTGACTTTCTAGGCACATAAATATTCTGCAACATAATGCAAAACAACAACGAACTAATTCTATAACTCTCGAAAGAGATCAAAGAATTTATCTCCTTGGGAAATGGGCACTTGTCATTATCTACTTCAGTGTGCCAAATGACAGGTGCTGGGAAGTAGGTAAGGATGGGAAGACCAAAGGGTCCGTCTACTTGGACAGAATCTCCCAGGTGGGAGAAGCCTGTGAGGAACAATCAACCATCCTTGTTCTTTATACACTTGACCGTACCTATCACAAAATGCTGCCACTCCACTGACATAGAAGAGAAGTGGGTTTTACTAAGCCATTATTGGGAAGGAATGCATCAAGGCCCAAGCAGACAGCAACCGGCACATGACCCAGGGCAGTGTCTTAGGGGGAAAGCCCATGGTGGGAGCCTCCTGGGTACCTCCAACTACAGACTTGGCTCCCAGCGTGAGAAAAGGGGAGAGGGAGGACAGAAGAGGAAACAAGACTGATGGATTGGGGGAGATGAGGCCCTGTGACCTCTCATTCTTGCAACATCTCACTAAACCCCATCAGTTACTTCCACAATCTGGAATTTCACTTCTTGACACCGGGGAGAGCGATGGCTTTAGAAGGAGCCAGGCTGGAATCAAATCCTGGCTCCACCGCTTACCAGCTACGTGGCTCGGGCTAAGGCTGCAGCTTCGCCTCCCCGTCTGCAGAGTGGGAATGGTGATGCCTCCCCGAAGAAGTCGTTAGGGGAATTCAGTGACATCGCACGCCTGGCACTATAGCTCACAGACAGCACGTAATCAGCAAATATTATTAGTTCCTTCTAACCGCCTGCCACCTCTTCCTTTTTGAAAGAGCATTTCTAGGCTGAGGGATGAGAAGCCAGGCTGTGCAAAGGCTGGGGTGAGTGAAATTGTTGGGCAACTCACCCCGGCTCTGCTAAAGCTCGAGGTATCCGTGTTACATCAACGGGGCCAGCTTTATTTCGGAGACTGTGAAAACAATCTGGTCAGTTCCTATCGCAACCTTAAAGATAGTTTTCCTCAACCATACCTAACCATAAGCAATTTTGCCACCCAGGAAACAGTCAGCATTAACACATTTGAAGATGTTTCAAGTGAATGCATGAATACAGAATGAATGAATAAATACAAAAGTTAAAATTTTAAGAAGACTGGGGAGAGGCCATTTCCCAAACATTACCCCTTTGATGCCCTGGCAATCAGGCCCTTGGGTTAGGTGCTCTACAAAACTTGAGCTGCTTCCCCCTCCTCCTTCATAATGTCCACAGACCCCAAACAGCCTTGCAGATACCGGAAGTCGAGAGCAGAGAGTGGAACAAGCAGCAGGCGCCCCCCACTGCACGCCAGCCATTTTGGAGCAGATAAAGTCATTAAGGAAAAATTTAACAATGTATAACCTTTCAGCTCTACTCTGCTAACAGCAGGTAGCTTCCCCTTGAGAGACAGGAGCCTGCCTTGAAGTCACCAGCGAGCAGGACTTGACCTTCATTTTCAGTATACGCAGCATTAAATATTCATAATGCACGTAACCGCAGCCTAAGAAGTAGCAGCGTTTAAACATGAATCAAAGGAATATGTATCTCCATGCGCGTGAGTCATCCTTTCCCAGGGTGCCCCTGGAAAAAAATGCAGACCTGGAGCTCCGAGCCTGCATCTCTTCCAACTTTCTCTTGAAATTCTGGATGCAACAGGGAGGGTTGCATTATGCAATGCACGAATCTTGCCCTCTCGCTGACACCTTGGGTCTGTGTTTTCATTTTCTTTTTCTTATCTATTAGATAAGAATTACTGTTCTTGTGTAGGAGGGAGGAAATAGACAAGAATGGAAGCAGCTAAGGTGACATTAGCACCCACAGGGCAGCTCTAGGCACTTTCTACTTGGTTGTACAATATTTTAAAAATCTTTGCTTCCCAGGGATCAGGGTGTGTGGGAGGAAAGGGGTGGCATAGGCACTGGGGGACTTCAGAATTGGGAGCTAGAGTGACGTGTGTCATAAATTGGGCAGGAGGCCTTTTAAAATGAATGAAAAGGAAAGGGAGCTTTTTGGACAGTATGAGTCTTGTGTGTGGCTAATCGGAGGATATCTTTTGGGGGAGGGATTGTGGGGTGGCATGTTGGGGCTCAGTGCCTCTCATGTTTGCTAAGTCACTGGCATTACATCTAACCAAAGACTAGGTCCAGAGAGAGACAGCTCCTTCTGCTTGGGTGTTTCTAGAGAGTCTACTGCTGGGATGATGAAACATAATTTTAATGCGGTTTAATGTAATTCTCTTTGGCTTTCAGCTCCTGGAGTGCCGAGGACAATCTGTCGTAGCCAGATAGGAACCACTTGAGGCTACACAGATGATTTTTCCCTCGCAATCGCTCTAGGAAAATGAAGACCAGGCCCCAAGAAGGGCATCTCAAACCCGTGAATGAAAAAGACCCACGCAGGGATCTATCTTGGGCTAACAGCCGAAAACAAGAGATGCGCAGGAGAAGATGACCTTGGAAGTGATTTAACCGGCGCCTCCTGATAGTAAAATGAGCTTCGAAAGGTTAAAAAGATCCCAAAGTCACCAATTACGACATTTACCTGGACCGCCTAAGCCTCCGCTGATGCACAGAGGTGGAGTCAGCACCTGACCTGCTTGTGCGCTTGCGCGACCTGGGCTGGCTGCCTCGAGACGGGGCTGGCCGAGCCGAGCAGGCCGCAGAGCCTGCCGCAGGTGTTCATCCGCACGCCTCGCACTTTCCAAACGGTGCAGGCAGCCTTGAATCTTGAACCTGTGCTGCTGGGATATTCCCTGCTTCATCTCTGGGAGGCCAGCTCTGGTTCAGATTCACCAGGACAGCCATTTCATGGGCAGTGTCTGCCCAATTAGGGTCACTCACGGGTTGACTCAACCTCTAGGTTGTCCCCTGATTCGTTTATTTGAAGGGCTTAAATACTAACTAAATTTCATCCGGAGAATACTGGCTGCTTTTTTCCAGGGTGCTGATTCAGTATAGCTTCCAAGAGAGAAGTTTAAAGCTATTTTTCCAAGATGCCCAGATGGCCAGCCAAACCTTGACTGTGTAAAACCAGTGACAATTTTAAATGGTAAAAAACAAAAAAAAAAAAAAAAAAAGGAAATTTAAAATTTTTACATTCTACTTTTTCTGTTTTACAGTCTACTCTTTCTGTTTGCATCTTATGTGTGGCTAAAACTTCATCTCATTTTGTTCACTAATCTCGATTATAATTTGCTTAGTAGCTTTCCTTTTGTTTTATTCCTGGGAAACTGTGGATTGACTATACGGGTGACCTTATAGATTATAGAATCCTTAATTCTACCCTATACTTAACTGGAGCATGCCTGCTGACTCTCTCCAGAAGATGCAAGACTCCTTGTGCTGACTCCATTGATCACCACCACCCGCCCCAGAACAGAATCCTGGGCTGTGGTCTCGGGACCTAATGAAACGATGCAAATGAAGAATGGAAAGGGCTAGGCAAATGACCATGAGGTCTCCTTACACTCAAAGCTTTGTACCAAACCACACAGTTCAGAGACAAAAAAGAGAGCAAGGCTGAAGCCAGGATGAGGCTAGGACAGTCCTCAGGAAGAGTGGGGACAATTTTGCTCCTAAGCTTACTGGTATTTTTGCTAGGAAAAGCTGAGGATAGGACTGCAGGTCCATCCTTGGAATAGATTCTTTGCAAGCCCATAAAAGAAACCAGAATCAGAGAGGACTCCCGGCGTCAGCTTCCCTGAGGTTTAGCAGGATCAAAATTAAAGCCAAGGACATGTACAGAGTATTCGGGGAAGAGGGCTTGTTGTGTTGGAGAATTGCATCACTCTCATGACTTCACATGGAGGCAGACAACACCAGGATCTAAAAAGCAAAAGGCTGCCTCACAGTAGACACTATAAAAAAGGACATCATCCAAATCCATCTAAAAAGCATTTTATTTCTGAGAAATACAGAGGAGGCAAAAGGTAGGCAAAGGGCAGGAAGGCGCTGACCAGGGCATCTGTCCTCCTAACACATCAGCACACTCACCTCCACATAAGGATTTGCTCTTGCTGGGGCACAGGCTACATGCCTGAACCTTTTTCCTGAGCCCCAGCATAGAAGTTGGCAGGGTCTGCACCCCACGACATGCGAGAACACTCCTGGAGAGAGATCGGAAAAATAAGACCAGGGGCTTTAGAAGATCTTCGGTTAAATTCAAATATGGTCTAGAATGATTAAGAGTAAGTATTTAGAAGGGACTTACCTTCAATGACATGGCAATTGGAGTCTTCCACACTTAAAAAAGCTCTTCTCTTTCTTGGCTAGGGAGAGCTGATGGAGGAAGCATGTGCAGCTCTGTTTCCTGAGGAGCCCAGGCTTGTGTGGGGACAGGGTGAAGGACCTCAGATATTCTCAGACTTGGCTGATTCCCAGAGACAGGTTATTAGAGGAGATATTTTCTTTATTTTCTCTGACATGCCATTTTGGCCTCTGCACCCAAATGCACAAAATCCTTTGGCTGGTGACCAGATGGCTCTGAGAAATTCAGAGTTTAGGTGTGCATGAAATTACTACCATTCTGAGCCCCAGAAAACTAAGCTCAGAATTCAGGCAAGCTGCGGTCTGAGCCAACAGGAACACCACGCAGATTTCCTAGGATCGAAGTCTAGTATCCAGGATAGAGTTAAAGAAGTTAAAATCACTCTCACAGTGGACAATGAGGGAACGAGCTCAAGGCCACTGTTGCCAGAGTTGCCAAGCTGGTGTCTCAACAGAAATGGAGTTAGACTCCAGCTCCCCTCATCTCCCGGAAGCCGTCAACTTCAAGATTGCAATAGGATAGTTGAAACAATGAAGGTCCCAGGGGTGGCACCTGCAGGAAACAGGGCACGTCTGGCTGCCATTTAGCAGCCTGGTCAGTGGCCTCTTCCTCCTGCAAGATCTTTACCATCTGTCATCCAGGCTCACCCTAGAGCACCAGTCCACTCAGCTGGCACCCAAGGGGTCTGCACAAGTGTCTCCTCTAGGAATTCTCAGATGGCCATGGGCCTTCACCACTGGGAGTCACCATGAACTCCTCCATCCCATTTCCTTACCTTCACAAGTCAAGAAGCACCAGCGAGTGATGCTTCAGCTGAATATTTGGCTGGCAGGTAAAAGGATAACACCATGCGTTTTAATGTGACCTCCAACGAGATCAAAGCATTGGAAATGCAAATGAGAAAAGGATCCTACAACCATGGCAAGAACGAATGGCTTGGACTACCATCTGCTGGACACTGTCAACCCTCCCAGAGCTCACAAATTCCCATCAAGCTCTCTTAAGTTCTTGACATCTTCGGTGCAAGTATTTCATCAGGAAATAGTTATTAAAAAATAAATAATGCCCAGCGAGGAGGTTTGACCCCAGGCATCTTTTCCTTCCAGGCCAGCAGAAAGGAAGCAGCCTTCCTTCCAAGAGCTTTCTTTCTCATTCAGAAAGTCAGCACAGAACAGCCCTGCCTTCCTCCAAAAATCTTCAACACTCAGGAGGCTCTTGTAAGGGTTGGTGTTAAGATAAACAAATTGATCAATGTAAAGGCTAACAATTGTTTTGGGGAAAAGGCAAGGCAATGCATTGAATACTCACTTTGACGAATCTATGAAGTATATTACAAGTGCACCGATGCTGAGAGCAAAGACCAAGACAACCTGCAAAAGAAGAGAAGAATGCTGTCACCGAAGAGCTGGACGTGAGGATGTTTGGGTGCTTTGACACATGCAACGGCATCTCTGAAATACCCTTCCAATTGCCCTTGGGGAAATGCTTGGAAAGCTGACCCCTTGCTGCCCCTACAAATGCCCTGGATGTTGCCTCCTTCCTTGGGGGTGGGCGGCAACCTCGCCCCTTGCCAATAGGTGTCAGGGCAGACTTTTATATCTTTAGAGCATTGAGTTTTTATCTGGCCCTGTGATCTCAAGGTCCAGCTTCTCTGTGAATGACATCAATAAAAATTTGGGGTGATACAATTTTTCATATTATATGTAACCTAAGACGTAAATGCTCTCAAGCATGGGAATATCAATTTTAACAGCTTTATTGAGGCACAACTTATATATCACAATATTCACCCCTTTTAAGTGTATAATTCATCAATGACTGTTAGCAAATTCACCAAGTTGTTTAACCATCCCTGTTATCCAGTTTCAGAACGTTAATATCATTCCAATAAGATCACTCGTGCCTGTTCAATTAATCCACATTCCCGACTCCTAGCCCCAGACAACCTCCAATTTACTTTCTGTCTCTAGACAGGAAATACCACTTTGAAAAGCACAAATTTGCTTGTACAAATGTCCTTAGGTGTGTGTTTGCATATGCAGCTACAGATACATTTACTGCATGCATACTCTCTATGTCTGTGTGGTTGTAATACTTCTGAAGCATTTAGGAAAATAGTTTAGGTGCAGGGAGTCAAATCAGGTAATCCATTAGGCCAGTTATGTGACAATCCTTGTCCTTCTTTACACTCTTCGTTCAAAATTAATCACCATGGATAGAAGACAGTTTTGGCATCTCCTCCAGTAGACACCTGTCACACTAAGGTCCATCAAATGAATATGTAGCAGATTAGGCTGACGCTGACACTTCTGTCCTCACTGAACATTCTAATTTGTTTACTTAATCTTTTGCAGAGAAGACTGTTAATGCAACTAAAGGACAGTCAAAAATGAAAAAGAGGCTATCAGCCAACAATGACGCCTGAGAACAAAAAGTAACTCCCCCCCCCCCCACACACACACACACACACACATACAAACAAAGTATGCCTGCTGGGTCAACAAAGACCTTTAAGATATGCTAATGTCCTAAAGAGACCGCAGCCTGAGGGCTGCAAGTGTCAGTCTCCTCAGAGTATACAGAAACTGACATCACTGGGGCATTACCTGGTGGATACAGATGAATTCCAATTTATGTAAGGACTAGGAACAGTCAAGCTATGTGTGTGCAAAGAGGGTCAGTGTATCCAGACAAAGAAAAAGGGAGAATCACAGACACACGTATCTGTGTTTTGTGTTTTGTGCCAAAGTGACTTATGGAAAATGAAATCTGCATGAAATACTATCTATTTAGTAGAGATGGGGTCTCCCTATGTTGTCCAGGCTGGTCTCAAACTCCTGGGCTCAAGGGATCCTCCCACATGGACCTCCCCAAGTCCTGGGATTCCAGGTGTGAGCACCGCACCCGACCAGCATAAGATACTCATTTAAAACATTGCAAAACTCCAAGGGGCTACTAGGGACAGATAGTGGGTTACACAGTCCAGAAAATGACAGTCGAAACAACTGGGCACTGTAAAAGGAATACACAGTTTCATAGCAACTGATAAAATCTCCTTATGAAAGGGAGTGTTAAAACAATACCCTGCGGTTTCTTTTATTCTTCCATTTTGTTTTAAAAACTAAAACATGCTCCAGTTGAATCCAGGGAAACTTCTGCAGTCTGTCAGTAATCATCATCTACCCAGCACTAATCCCTCTTGGCTGGCTCACCTCGGCCTCTCCCCCCCCACACATCCATTCACTCATTCCTTGCAAAGGCAGACACAAAAACAAGCAAGCAAAAACATGCACAGGCCCCTGCTTTTGCCTCTATTCATCAGAAGGAGGCAGGAAAACAAATAGCTTAAGATTAATTTTGATCTGTGCTGCTATTTCTGAGACATAAGCAGTTAGATCCCGGCCCTGACCTCATTCTCAAAAAGCTGCAAAGAGAAGGGGTGTGGCCAGGACAGAGGGGAAGGGCTTCGTCTTCATTCATAAACAGCTGATCCCAGACTAATCCCTATCCATTTGGCTCCCTGCATGTGTGCCTGAGAATGCTGGGCATCTGTCGGAGCTGGCTATGTAGGCCTATGCCGCTAAAAGCCACAGTTGCGGGAAAGGACAGGAAAGAGGTCCTTGCTAATGTCATCTACATCATTGTGTAAAGAACCCCAAAATCTAAGCTCTCCTGCAATGGCAATGACTTCCCAGCATCAGGATGGCCAGACAGAGTAGCTGACACTAATTTGTCCCAGCTGCCTCCACTTGGCATCTATGATGGGGCCTAATGCCTTGCTTATTTAGGCAAATCAGCCAGTGACAGGAGGAGGGAAGGAATCCTGCTGCCCTCTTAAGATGGAAGCTCAAATGTCAGCATCTCTCTGATAGCGTAAGAGAGGGAAGAATGCCGGGGGGTGGGGAATGATCTCCGCAACTCCCAGGGACTGAAGATTTAGTTGAGTGGACCCATGCGTGGGTCCCCGTGCTCAGCTTTCTTTCAACTACGTACAGGATGAGCCAAGGTGCCCCGCCCACCAGGATCCACCATCGCCTGCCTCCATGCATGAAATGCTCTGTGGGGAGAGGACCTGCTCCTCGGCATCAAGGTAACTGTGCATGGAATCTTTAAACTCGATAAATGCCTCTTTGTCATGTCACGCTTGATGACACTGTCAGCCTGGATCCAGGTGCTACTGTAAACACACCCACTCTTTGACGTGGCCATGAAAACAGAAACCCAGCAGAGACTTGTCTCCTCTAGGGCCCTCACAAAGCACCTCAGAAGGACTTATGTCTTCTCTCTCTCTCTCTTCCTATCTCTATCTCTCTAACAAATCCCCCGTTGTCTGAGAACCCCACTCCAAATATGAAAAATATCAGCCTGAGAACACCAGATGAATGGATTTTAGCTTAAATGGTAATAGTAATGTTATAGAGGGCCCCCAAATAGTCAAGTATTTATTTAACATATGCTATGCACAAGGCCCAAGAAAAACAAAAGAAGCAAGGCCACTTGGAATCATAAAGTAAACTCTTTTATGGAGTAGTCCTTGCATAGATTAATCCTGTGCCATTAATATTATGCAATTTGTGGTAAATCCTATAGGATAGGTATAGCCATTACATAATAAGCTATTGCCTGGGCGGATCACTAATAAATGGAGAAGCAGCGAGAAAAGAGTAGGAACTAAGGGCTCTTTTCTCAATATCCTTTTCTTTCTCAAAGTGTCCTATCTACATGTTACAGCTACTCTAATGTCCCTCCAGGAAGGGGCAGGGCCGGTGGGAATCCTTCTGTGTGCTTCCACAGTCCCAGGGACAAGGAGGACTGAAGCCCCAGGGACATGGTAAGAGGAGACGGGAAAGCACAATTTCCCAAGCCACGTGTCTGTGCCCTCCAGCATCAAGAATCATCTTTACAACAACCAAGCTCTAGGCCGGGCGCGGAGGCTCACGCCTGTAATCCTAGCACTCTGGGAGGCCGAGGCGGGCGGATTGCTCGAGACCAGGAGTTTGAAACCAGCCTGAGCAAGAGCAAGACCCCGTCCCTACTATAAATAGAAAGAAATTAATTGGCCAACTAATATGTATAGAAAAAAATTAGCCAGGTATGGTGGTGCATGCCTGTAGTCCCAGCTACTCGGGAGGCTGAGGCAGGAGGATCGCTTGAGCCCAGGAGTTTGAGGTTGTTGTGAGCTAGGCTGACGCCACGGCACTCACTATAGCCTGGGCAACAAAGCGACACTCTTCTAAAAAAAAAAAAAAAAAAAAAAAAAAAAAAAAACCAATGACTTGAGCACCACCTCTCAGGGCACGACTTCCGCTCATTTTCACCAGAGCCTGTCCAGCTTCCCACAGTGAGGGCTCCCCAAATCTCCCTGGCAGCACTCACTGCCATATCCTTAGATTTACTGAAAACACCCACACGCTGCATGGTGACATTGAGTGCTGTGTCAGATTCCTTAAACACCAAAAGCAACTCGACAAACGTCATTAGAGCAATGGTGCTTGGAGTCGCCTATTTTCAAAACTCCAAGATCAAGCGCGGCACATTATTTGCACAAAAGAGTGCCAGGAACACAGACACACAGTGTATCCAAGGACAAAAAACCCAAAGTCCGTCCCCAGCCCCGGACACGAGGAGGATTCTGGTGACAGATGGAGAGTAGCCACGGGAAGTTCACAGCCATCTTCCTAGAAGGAAATCCCGGCAGGCCGGGAAGATCTTTCCAATGTCCCTCGGGAAGTTCATGAAAATGGAAAATGGGATGGCCAGCGGGGAGCATTTTCCCCCTCAGGTCCCGGGAGCTCCTCGAGGAAAGGGCAGATTCAGCGATGTGAGCACAGAGGGGACTTGAAGCAGAAGAGCTGGCTCGTCAGGGACGTGGCCTGTTCTAGGACCTGGGCTGGCGTTGCGGGGTGCAGGCCCGTGCGCTGCCAGGGGGCACGGGAGGCTCTGTGGGCCTCAGGGGATGGGTGTGGGGCCGAGGCTCACAGAGGGGGCCACCGCCAGAACCCTATCTCCTGAGGAGAGCTTTTCTTAAAAAGCAGAGATGCCCGCCTCCCACCCAGGCCCGGCGAACCACGAGCCGGGGGTGGGGGAACCGGGCGCCTCTTTTTAACAAGCTCCTCCAGTGAGTCTGACCGTGCGGCCAAGAATGGGAGTCACTGAATTAAAGCCATTAGGGGAACCACTTAGCTCAAGCCAGAGATTAATTTACAAATGTCGCCTTACCAATTAGCCCATTAGAACATATGTAGGAGGCCTGCAGGCTTAGAGGATCCTGTTAGGCGCACTCTAAAAAGTTCAGAGAAGAGGATGAATTAATTCTCTCCTGAGCAGGTTTTACACATTCTCCTCCGCTCACAGCAGAACAAATGACCCT